TAAAATGAATGTTTATTTTGGGAAATACTGTCATAAATGCAGATACTGATGTTTCCATGAAAGACAATATATAAGTCAGACTCTGGTATAAATGATAAAAACTGCAGTGCATTGATTTTTATGATAATTTATCAGCGATATGATATGATACCATTAAATGAATGGTATGAAGATTTGTAAAACTCTGCAATAAATGCTATAAAAAAATAACTTCCATGTGCTACAATACAATACATACGGTTAGGGACAGTGAAGGTTATTTCCAAGAGTGAACTGAAACTTGGAGAAAACAGAAACAGAAAAACAAAAGTGAAATGAAACTTGGGGCAAAAAACAAGACCTGAACAACAAGAGGTTTTAAAACAAGCATCCTCTAATTTCTCCTGTGCTGCAGTTTTTATAATACACACACATGCACACACTCTCACATAGATACACACACACATTCCTGAACGTGACAGATAACAAATCTCTCAGTCCACACATAACTATGTGCACACTAATATTGAAGAACATAGATTCCTGATTTAAATAAACTTTCTTTACCTTTCACACGTCAACAGTCCGTCAAAAACGACTCACAAACAATGAACCCTTTAATCGTCGTTGGTCACACTGATGTTGTTTACCGACTGGCTCAACTGAGATCCTTGATTTTCATCCCCACATGTGGTGAACCGTCTCCAGATCTGCAGGTATGCGCTCCTTATCTTTTGTATTTTGAAAGCGTACACCACTGGGTTCACAGCCGAGTTTGCATGAGAGAGCAGGATGCCAATATGAAAAGCCGACACAGGTACGGTGCTAGGATTATCGAAGTAAGCGATGCAGTTCATGATGTGGAGTGGGAGCCAGGACAGAGCAAACAGAGCCAAGACCAGAGACAGAGACCCTGCCAGCTGCTTCTCTTTCCTTAGGTAGTTCAGAGATTGTTTCTGGACTCCGTTGCCTGGTTTCTCTCTGAGGCTTCCTCGAATGATGCAAAACACAAGGCCGTACAAAATGGTCATCATCAACAGTGGAGTCAAAGTGCAGAGAAAGAAGTTGAAGTAAACCAGGTATGACATGGGGATAACGGATATAAACCGGCACACGATTGTAGAGTTGGTGGAATCAGATTGGTCGAAGGTTTTGTGGTTGTACCATCCAAGCATGGGAGCAAAGCTTAGCGGGATTGCAACAAACCAACATGCTGCTACCACAAGCCATGAATGTCTCCGCGTTATTGTCCTTTTGTACCTAAGAAGAAAAACACTAATTATAAAAGCAGTTATCTGTGCATTCAAAACATGGAAATCTAAGCATTTTGAGAGTAAAGTCAAAACGTCAACACATAAGTAAAATTGTGTTGAGAAAGATTGTGTTGAGAATACAGTCAAAATAAATGAGAGGAAGATTGTTCTTTTCATTTGGCATTTTGAGAATAAAGTTCAACTGCATTCTTAAAAGTTCAGGTTTTCAACAATTTGTCTTTATTCTCAATATTAAAAAAATTTAAATTAAAAAAAATTAAATTTCTTATCCGAGTTAGTTTGATTTTACTCTCAATAAGCAAAATAAAAATACATATCACTCCTCGGATTTAGCTCAACTTTACTCACGACATTTCAAATTATCTTTTGATAAAGTTTGAAAAAATCTTCCTCTTCTCTTTTTGTCTCAAACCTGGTCCTAAAACCTAATACTCTTCCATAGAAAAGGATCAGAGTTGAGGTTTAGATGAAAATGGATCCAAATGTAAAACTCAGCTTTCTAGTGCTGCTGAAGAAAAAAAGAAATCATACCTGAGGGGGATACACACGCGGAGGTAACGGTCCACAGCAATAGCCGCAAGACACAAAACTGAGACCGACGTCAACAGGATGACCACGCAGCTGATGAAGAGACAAGCGTGAAATGAAGTCTCCACTCGTCCGTCCACCACCACAGCCAGCGGTATGGCTACACAGCCAACCATGAAGTCTGCGGCAGCCAGAGAGACGATGAGGCAGAAGGTGGGCAGCTGAACGCTCTTACTGGCCCACAGAGCCAAAATGACCAACATGTTTCCCACGCAGCAGCTGACAGCGATGAGCACCTCCAACAACGTGTAGATCACTTCACCCGGGCTCATCGTGCTTCCTGTGTGGCTGATGTTTGGTTTCTGTAGAAGTGTTTCTGAATGCACGTCTGACCGTGCTGTGCAGCTTATCATTGATCTTGTGAACTTTGAGGAAGTCCTCGGCCACCCTGCTTTTTTTCCTTTTTTTTGTGGGTGTTCTCCTGTCTACTGTGGTGGCACAAGCTTTCTTTTAATGCTGCAGGTCAAACTGTTGCAAAAATAAACTGTTTGTATTTTTAATAAAATGTTTTACATTATTAATCAGCTTTCTGATGTTTTAAAGAACCTATGATCAACACTAATCATCACATTAAAAAAGCTTGTTTATGGTTTTTCTTGTTTTTTTTCTCGGATGTTTACATAAGAGGCCATTGCACAATTTACTGATCATTTTAGGAAACAGAAGGATTTTACTTGTCCTGACTCATATTCTTGTGTGAGAAAAGTAGGATACTGTGTATGTCTTTGTAAGACTCACAAAGTCACCAATGTCACTTCCTTGAACGAAACCGTAGTATTTGTAAACTTGCACCGCAACAACCAAAAAAGAAGCAAGTAAAGGGAACTGACACATTTAAAATAAATGGATCATGTTACTAATAAAACAAGCAAATGTGAAAGTACCAATACCATAGCACCACAAAGAACCATCTGGCTGAAGTCAAGCTATTGTATACATAACATTGCTCAATAAAAGATGTTGAAGAGAGATGTGAAAGTGTGTAAGAGATGTGAAAAAAACTTTACAACTATTTACATCTAAAAATGGTCTAATGCTGTTGTTAAACAGGGGAAATGTTTGGTGGTTTAAAAAATAGACAATTTAGAAAGAATTTGCCATCGTGTCAAAAATGCAGACTGGGAAAAGTGATAATTGAGAACAGCAGACGGCTGTGGTTCCTGCTTTGGATACTAACCAGCAGGTCTGATGTTCGATTCCCAGCTCCTCCAGTCTGCATGCCAAAGCGTCAAAGTGTGAATCGCGTGAAAGAAAAAAGCTCTGTGTATAGAAGCAAGCATGAATGGGTGAATGTAACTAATACTGTAAAGCGCTACAACTAGAAAAGCATATAAAGCATATATATATATATATATATATATATTATATATATAAACACAGGCCATGTACCATTTAACAGTAGGATGTTTAACAAAATGACCCAAAGAAATCTAATTTAACTCAAAAGGAAACTCTAATTGTTTCTCTGAGACATTAAGTAGAGTTTAGACACTATATTGGGATTCTCTCCTTCTATTGCTCAAACCTTCACATTCAAAACTAGATTGGCACCCGACAGAGCACATATCTCCACCAAGACCCAAAAGTCCCCTTATAAAACCACATTTATATACACTCGATCCACATTTTTATTTGGATCAACCCCTTATTAAACAGACTATCAATATCAGTCTCTGATTTTATTAGTCAATATCCATGAGTTAATCTCTGAGAAAACAGGAATATTGAGAAACACCCTATTTCACAATATCAAAAAGACTGAAAGAAAAATTCCTGGATCCACCCTCCAACATTTTTATAGCAAGTTTCATAGTAATCCGACCTGTGGTTTTTCTGCAATGCTGCCAATTATCAAACAAACATGGATGAAATCATATCCTCCAGTGGTGGTTAAAACAGCAGAATGACAACGAGAGTCATAAAGAACCATCTTCATCAACAGGTGGAACAGGAAATCCTGCTGTAAATGGCCTGGTACCAACAGAGCCCTGATGTTTTGGACAATCCACCAACAAGTGTGGCAAGTTCTCCAGGATGCTGGGTACAATCATAGACTGTATGGTACAATATACAAATAGGCTACCCCAACAAAATGACCTCACATGTACACGACATAAGAGAATTGGTGCCAATTTAAAGGCAAAGGGTGATCGCACCCAATATCGATTTATGTTTATTCCACTTTGAATGGAGTTAGCTAACAACAAATTACATTACTGCTAAGGTAGGGCTGAACAATACTGCCAAACAGTATATCCACATGAAAACTCAAAGAATTATATCCGTCTATAGAGAAATAAACGCCACGTTAGAGATGGATATTTGCTCCTGAGTTAAGATTGAGCTTTTAAATTCTTCTTAATGAGCAGAAAACGATGAAACACTCGATAAACAGCAAAACATTTTACACATCGAAGGCAGATCAATAATTCCTCGCCGCGTTGAACGATGTAGAAGCAACATATCGATACCTATAGGACGGATACTAATATATAAATGTTGGTTTATCATCTGCATACTGTCACATGTGGACCACAGCAGTATTACAGTAAATTAGGACGAATGTAAAGTACACTTTGTCCATTTAGCTTCATGAAAAGGAAACAACTGTGTATCCTACATTTATAAAACATGTTCTTAATCTGAGGAGGGAAACAGTGCAGCTAATGTGACACATTAGCTGCGTGTGTTAGCATGATATCAGCAGTTAGCAGAACAAGGGTTTCCTCTCTTTGGACCACAGGAGTTGTTGCCAGCTAACAGGTGAGCTAACAGGTGAGCTAACGTCATAGCACAGATAGAAGACACACTGAATCCAGCCAAACGCTAAGCTAACGTTAATTAGCCATGATAGCAGGTGAGCTACACAGACACTCACCAGTGTGTGCTGATGTCCTCAGGTGACACACAGCAGGTGGACACGTGGTTAAAACTTGTGAATCCTCCAAGAACCTCCATCTTCCTCTCATCTACTTTACTTCTCTCCATCTGCATGAACAAATCCTACACAACAGCAGGTGGCGCTGTCTGCGTGACTGGAGCAGGTGTGCATGTGTGTAGGTGAGCAGAGGGGTGGGGCCATGGATAATAATACAAATAATAATAATAATGATAATGATGATAATAATGATGATGATAATAATAATAATAATAATAATAATGAATATAATAATAAAAACCTTATTTGTGTAGCTATTATCTAAACAAGGTTACAAAGTGCTTCACAAACTGCACGGCAAAAAAACAAATGAATAAAATAAAAGGCATTTCATTCAATTTAAACGCTGAATCATATTAAACAACATATTAAAAAAAAATAAAAAGAGAGACCCAACAGTTCCCTCAATGAGCAGCACTTTGGGAGGAAATGTTTCCTCATTAACTGGAAAAAAAACTCCAGCAGAAACATTCCCAGTGTGGGCGGCCGTCTGCAGACCGGATGGGGTGAGCAGAATGAAAGCAGAACCTCCCAGCATGATGTGAAAGTTGTCTTAAATGCTTGATGGCCTGAAAATTTTAGGTAGATCGAGTCAGTGAAAGAGCTTCTGAGTTCTACCCACACAGTTACTGCCCTTGATGGGAAGTGGAGGGTGTGTACATTTTTGTCATATCAGACTTAAGATGACTAATGAATCAGTCTGAAGAATTATAATTACTTCATGTATGATCCAGTCCCTGTTTGCCATGGTGTGCTTGTGAGTAAATGGACGATCACAACTTGACTCAACCCGTGCAATGGTTAAATATTGAATTGCTTTAAAACGAACAGACAACATTAAAAAGCTCTCTGGCTGGTGCCACACAGACTTCATCTCATGGGCACCATTTGCCGCTGTGGAGGCAATTGATCTGTACATTTACAGTAATATCAAAACCACTACTGATTTTTTGATTGCACATTAATTTGGACACTCATAATATTTTGGGGAAATGATAAGCAGATATTAGAGACACAAAAAGACAGACCCTGTAGAATCAGGATGAAATTAAGTCTTAATTAAGCTGCGGTGCTTTGTGAGGACATTGAAAATAATTTTGCTAATGTGAACCGGTAATAGAAGCTTTGCTGTCATGTAATCTCTGCGGCAAATGCACGAGCGGATCCCTGCAAGACTGTAATCAAATTCATTGCTATTCAACTGTCAGTTGGATGCTGACAAATGGCAAAAGGATTTAGCACCATTAGTTTCTCTGTTGTATCACATCAACTGTTAAAATAAAACCACAATAACAACAGGTTTTTCATCATTAGATCAAGAGGGGAAAATAGAAACAAGATAGATAAAGAAATAGATAAAGCACAACAGCATGACTTCATGATCATTGATTTACTACGTTTCATACATAGGCTACTGCAGTATTATATTTGTTGAGACTTTTGATATTTACAGACACAATAATACATGCATTCTACCACTTGAGCTGATGAAATCAAGCAGGATACAGGCCCAATAAAATTGATTCAGCGTCTGCTCACGAACACTCCACACCACATCCTGATAATATATATAGATAGTGTCTCAAAGCAACATCCTGACTCATTGCTTTCTTTAAAAAAAAAAAGACTCAAGCGATCAGATTGAATATATTTACAGGCAGATACTGAATATGCCTCCTCAAGCAAGTGCAGACCATTTCAGTGATTGCTTGCTCAGTGTCGCTCGCTGCCAACGTCTTTTCATTCTCAGATGCACAATTACATTAGGTTTTTGTAAGTAAGTGAACCTTTGGACGCTGCCTGCAGCTTACACAGCAGAGAGAGGCTGATTTAAAAAGAGTAGAGAACAATAAGCAGAATAAATGTGCCTTTGGAATGAAATGCAAGCCAGTGAGATATATAATAAACTTTCATTGATTATATAAAAAAAAAAGTGAAAATGTGTAAATTAAAAGAAAAATTATAAGATGATAAGATGATAAGATGTTTTCGCACCATTTGGACAGAATTATAATTAAAAGCTTGGATTTAAAATGCTGCACTCTAATTTTGTTGTTACTGATGTAATGGTTGGAATAAATGATGAATCACACAGAGGCTACCTCAAATCTGTCATTACCCAACTCAAATCAGCCCTGGGTCTCTCAGGTATTGATGTTGCATTATCAAAGTAGAACATGTGCATGTGCAGATTAGTTGATCCATATAAAAGAGGAGAGACAAGGAGAGTCACATAAAGGATGATGAATTCCAACAATAATCGACCTGCACATGACACAGGCTCGATGCAAAGAGATGGAAGCGAAATTCATTGCAGCAGTAAAATCTATATATAAAATAATGTGGTGTAGCACACAGGTTGGATACATTAGTACTGTAGCACTTACAGAACCTCTAAAACTGACAGAATGTCATGTCTCGTTTGTTTAATCTGCACAGAAACAAGAAAAAGAATATTAGTCCTTTAAATATGCCAGATGTTTTTTGTTATTCCTTGGGAAATCGGTGAAAATGTAAAAAAACGAAAACACCAAAATTTTGTGTTCTCACTTGACCGATTTTTCATCAAACCATGAAAACTACAATACCACGACTAAAAAGTGATGCAAATATTCTTAATAGGAGTAAAACTATTACTGCAGGGTGCTGCAGAAAGCAGAGTCCCTCCCCTCAATTTTATGACTCGCTCCTTACAGAGTAGAGAGGGAGTAAGTGAAAAAGAGAGAGCAAGAAAGAGAGAGCAAGAGAAAGCGAGTAAGAATGTCAAAGAGGGGCCGTGCTCTGTTATCTAGTCTCGTTCGGAGCCTGAACATATGGAGGATTCGTTCAGCATCCTGAAGTGATGCTCATTGTGTGCATATGGCAAAGAATACTTTCAGCTGAATGTACACACAATGGAGGATGTTTCTGATCTGACGCAAAACCCAAAGTGGAGTCAAGAAGTTTCAACATCCAATTTCAATTTTTTTTTATCTGACCAAAGGTAAGTGAGATCTGCGAACTGTAAAAATGTCCTCCTCTCCTGGCATCAAGGCTCGGGAGCATGTGGACATGGTGTACATCTCCATAGAGACAGCTGTTGCCCTGGCCTCTGTGCTGGGGAACGTGCTGGTGGTGCTGGTGGTGTGTGTGAACCGGGCTCTCCGCGACACCACGTTCTCCTTTATCGTGTCTCTGGCGGTAGCTGACATCGCCGTGGGCGTCCTGGTCATCCCCCTGGCCATCATCATCAGCCTGGGATTCAACACTCAGTTTTACACCTGCCTCTTCCTCTCCTGCCTGCTGCTCATCATCACCCAGAGCTCCATCCTCTCCCTGCTGGCCATCGCCATTGACCGATATCTCAGAGTCAAGATTCCCATCAGGTGAGGAATCGTCTTAAAAACACTTAGTTGGACTTTGAACAATGTCATCTAATTGTACTCAGGTTTTTGAAAGAAACCAAGGAAAAGAGAGGATTTGTTTGTTCTGTGTTCTTTGATGGATGATGTAATGACGTTCAAGTATCGGGAACAATAAAATATTCATAACTGATGGCAGAAACATAATCTCTTACTTGTTATGATTGCCTCCAGTCAATTTGTGGTTCCTTGATATGCTGTAAACTCTTAACGCTCTGTAATGCATTAGTGACATATATTAATTTGCCTCGTTTCAAAATAAATCAAATGATAATGCAACACAAAAGGCATATCTTCAATACCCAATATCCATATTACACAAAATCTTGAAATGTTGTTAGAATTCCCTTAGAATGAACACATTGCAGTTACCTGCTGAATTTTATGGTTGAAGCCACTTTTGAAAGTCGCCCCAATACAATTATAGAGCAACATATAGTTATAGTAGTAATAATGGTACAGAGAGCTTCTCACCTCACTCCTTCATTGGCCCTAGTATCATAGAGTGTTAACATTTTATCCTCCAGCTAGTAAATCAACAGGGGGCGGTCTTCAGCGTTGATGCCTGACATGGCACAATATATTATTGCCTGGTTTAAAGTAAATCGATGGGCTGCCTATCAAAAGCTTTTAAGCAAATGAAAATGTTCCTTTCTGCCTTAATTCCTGATGGAGGCACAGTATGTGGAGGGATCTGGCAGCTGTCAATGCAACTTTTTGTTTATCTGTTGGATCCTGACGTCAACAGCTTGCACACAAGAAAAATACTTCTGAAGAGAAATCAAGGGACTAGCATTCGTTCAAGTAAAACTACTACAGTTGTATGTAATAGTGCATTTAGGTAATCACATTCGACATGTCGTCTGTTTTATCCAGGTACAGCACCATAGTGACCCAGGGGAGAGCCTATGTGGCAGTCTGTCTGTGTTGGATCCTCTCCGTCCTCACTGGGTTGGTTCCAATGATTGGTTGGAATAACCGTGACGTCCAAGGAAACCTCAGCACTTCCAGTGAAATTGTGTGCAAATTCACCACGGTCATGAGGATGGACTATATGGTGTACTTCAATTTCTTTGGCTGGGTGGTGGTACCGCTGACCATAATGATCGCTCTGTATGCCGAGATCTTCAGGGTGATCAGGCAGCAGCTTAACCGACGTGCAGAGGCCACGTGCGATGGAGAGCGGTACTATCAGAAGGAGCTGAGGCTGGCAAAATCACTGGCCTTGGTAGTCTTCCTCTTTGTCGTGTGTTGGCTGCCGATACACATTATGAACTGCATCGACTTCTTCTGCCCACAGTGTTACATACCCAAGTCTGCCATGTACGTAGGGATTTTCATGTCCCATGTGAACTCAGCCCTCAACCCAATGGTTTACGCATTCAGGATAAAGCGGTTCCGCATTACACTGGTGCAGATCACTCGCCGCTGCATGTTATGTAAACATGCAGAGCCCACCCCGTGCCCCAACAGCACACCAGCCCTGCCGAAGAAAGTGGATGTAAACCTGTAACAAGGACTGGAGTTTTTCTGAGTATATCACTCACAGTGAGACGGTGCAGTGATGGGGATCTGGAGATGTTATTTGGACCCATTAACAGTTTTCTCAAAAATAAATGTGAAAGAGTCAGAAATACATCCTGCACTCAAGGAAAACCATAGAAAAACAATCATTCTGCATTAATTTGTTTTCACTCAATGCCTTCTTAATCGATTCATATTGAATTATAATATGTATGTCAACATAAGTAATACGAAAAACGTTTCATGTTCAAAAAGTTTATCAGTAAGTTCAACGGAATAAATTAATTTATAATCTAATCTTACATTTACTATTTCACATTTAAAACAATTTCAAGTCTGCAACCATGGCAACAACTCTGTGTTTGAGTTTAATGCTAATGATGACATACTAAGTAGGTGTAAAACTTACTACATTTCTTGCTATGTTAGCGTGCAGTGAATTGACTAGTGTGGCAAAAAATTATATTGAATTTGCACAATGAATTAGTTTGTTAACGCTAAACGAAAGCATCTGACTCACAATGGGAAGATTTACTGTTTACAAAGATGGATAGAGAGCACTGTGTATTTGTATTTCACAGAATCTCAATAGAGAGAAGGGGAAAGGCTTTTCTTGGAGAGCATGTTCACGGTGAAGTTACTAAACTGAATGAAACAAGAATTTGGTAATATCAAAGCAATTCAGCCATCAGTCTTAATCAAAGGAAGCAGACACCTCTTTAGCTAATTCAGGTCACTTTTGCCATATTTCAATAGCTGTGGAAAAGTGTTGAAAAAAAGGCTCTGAGGCATTTGTGTTAATTACCCACAGAGCATTAGGGCTGACGTGATTTATTTATCCTCTAAACTCCAAAGCTTCTGCTAAAGCGGTCCAAGTTCTGCTTTGTCATCAGTTTCACTTATGCCTGGTTTTACTCACACTACTACCAATCACATAAATAAAGGCACTCAGTGGAGCACATACCTCTGCAAAGGCCAGACAGTCCTCTTATATTCAATTAAGCTGCAAGTTTAAGTTGCACACACTCCTTGATGTTAGTCCCAGGATTGATGCATTTTGCATTTAAAAAATTGTGAAAATAAAAAAAATGAATAAAAGAAGCCCTATCTCGCATTGTTGAAAGTAATTAAAAACTCTGGATTAGTTTAAATGATTGGGTTCTTTCTTGGCTCATGCACCTTACACCATGTTTTGTTGAAATCCATTCAGACATTTTTGCATAATCCTGCGGACAAACAAAGAAATGTACACTGGTGAAAGCATAATCTCCTCAGTGGAGGTGAAAAGGTTAAATCTGGTTTAGGAGATGCATGTTCAAATGGCATTTGATATGTTTAAACCACCAGGTTTGTGTATTTTTATGTGCCCTCTTTCTCTCTGTCCTTGCCACACAAATACTTCAATGCGTATTTTACCATCTGTCACCTTCATCCTCGCTGAGGGATTTGAAACTGCTGAGTGTGGTGTAATCCTCAGCCCTCGTCTTAGTGAGGTAGGTGCCACGAAACCGATCTGGCATTTACTACCTCCACACCTTTGGCTGGCGGCCTACTGAATGCTGAAGAGGCACAAGCATGGTGTAGGTGTGGAGACAAAAAGCCAGGAGTCTCTATTTCTTTTGTTGTTCCTTTCGTCATCCGAGACTAATCTGCTCTGAGGTAATACCTTTCATATTCATCCCAAACAACTGCAACAAGTTTGTGATGTTTTAGAAAAGACACAAAAGCAATGATGCTTTGATGATTTGGATATTCTCAGAGGACTAAAGGATTTTAATTTGCAGCACCGGACCATGGCCGATACAGATGGAGCAGAGGTCGGCCAAGACCTGGAGGCTCCAGAGGAAGAGATGTATGATGAGCAGCGACTCTTGCTACAGTTCGGAAAGTACAGCGAATCTCGGCGTGCAGTCCCTTGGGAGCAGTGGACCTTCAGAGAGAAAGCAAACTATTACATTGATCGCATCTTCCTTGGGGTATTAGTCATTTTCTTGATTATGCTGCTGGCAGAGTTTGGCTTTAAAATGTGGTACGTGACGAACGTGACGAAGATTGTAGAGTTTGTGATGGATTCATTGGCCTTTGTGTTCGACTGGCTCTTCACGCAGGAGAAACAGGAGCAGCTGGCTGAATTGTAGTGAGATAAAAACAGTCGTGCAGCTGTTAATCTGTTGAATGTATCCAGCGTCTGTGTGAGGGATGATCACAGTGGTTTTTTCTATGATGTTTTTGGTGGATGTGTTTTTTTTAAGGCCCAGTAAAGAATCCATTTATACCCCCATGATGCATAAATCATTTATCAACTTTACGTTTGTCACTGTTTCAATAGAAATAAATAATGTATGCTATTAACTGAGTTATTTGTTTGTCCTTCTGTACACGGAACTAAAGAGTTGTAGCATCTCCACTCCCACCTTCTGGTCATTGTGCTTCCTTGTGCATTTCCTTCCTTCCTTGCACTTTTAGAGATGTTTCATTTATTTTTCTCTATTAAATATAATTTAATTTCAAATTAGCATCAGAGCAGGTACAGAATGTCAGTTAGTTAAAGCATGTGATGCAATAGTGTTATCTTAAAGGGGAAATACAATGTTTTAAAGGGATAAATTAAGCTATGATAAACTCAGCCATCTTTCATGAGTTTTAATGTAGTCTCTTTCCTTTTTTTGATTGTTTACATTAGTTTTTATCTTCACTTCAACCCTGCCTCAATTATTAGACTCATTATTTCCACTTTAACTGATGGATGTTTGAGATGTCCTCAATGTCTGGTGCAAGTAAGGCCTCTTAGTTGTTTGCGGCGCAAAGAAAAAAATAGGATGCATGATTATGTTCCACTGAATCAAAAGCCTCTAAATTGAGACTTTTTTTTCAATAAGCTGTTTTTAAAACTTAAAACTTCCCTCTTACACTTTTCTCCTCGTGTATTGAGAATATTTGAACATCCTCTTTCAATATTTAAAAAAAAATCTGCTGGACAATAATCCAACAAATCCTACAGAACTTTACTGAGGCCGACAATTGAACAACATATACGGTGGCACAAAATTCAATTGTTACATATGAACTAATAATAATAACAAAAATAAGATTTTCAACAAAGTTACAAAGTGCTTCACGAAATGATTAAAAAAATAAATGAAGAGAAATGTAGGTTTTAAACATTAATAGATGATAAAAATGAAGAAAAGCAACATGTATTTGATTTTTTGTTGTTCTTTTTTCAAATCTAATTATTTTAAGTCACTTGGTGTTAACACTCATCATCATCAGCTATGCACCTTTAACAGAGTGAGCTTCGTTTTAATGTAACGATATGTAACATATGTTGTTTCTTTCACTTAAGTTTGAAAAAACTAAAATAATAATAAAATTAATAATGATAATAAACCAACAAAAAGATATATAGATATTCATACACATACGTACCCACGCATGTGTATACGCATACATATATATATATACCGTACATACCTGCACCTACATATATATACATACACATACATATATACATGGTTGTTTAGTGCATCAAAAACTAAGACAAGAGAAGGGCGTTTCAGGGAAATCTAACTTTTCCATTTCTCTCAGATTTGCTCGAACTTGTTTTCCTGGAGAAGATGATTGTTCCATCAAATAACTGTCACAGATGATGAACTGATGGTGACTGTGACTCTCACCATTTGTCTGTGATCGATTTTCTTGGATTCTTGTTGATGTTTTTATGTCAAAGAAAATAAGAGCCCTGTTGACGAAGTGATGACGTAGGCACCTGTCACCCCCGAACGGACCAATGAAATCGCCGCTGTATGTTGCTCTACACTTTTCCGGCACCGCCCCTTCCTTCTCCCAGAATTCCTGGCGTGACCCACGTTTCGTGTCTGTTTAGACTTAAAGTAAGTGAAAGAATCCACGCGTGTCTCCATTATTCTGTTGTTGTCGTCGTTATCACGCTGTGTCAGGAGCAGCCGTGCTGGTTTTACTGGATGTGACGCAGCCGGAGCGGAGACTCTAATGGCGGACACGCGGACGCACGGACACCCGGCCGCCATGCTGCCTCTGTCGGCCCTGATCCACGTGTTTCCCCGTTAACTCGGTGTTGCTCTGCTGGAGGAGCCGCTGCACCCTCCACACACAGTTTAATCCCAACACTCACCTCCACGCCATCGTCCGCGTGTCCGCGTGGGACCGAAGTTTAACATCGTCTCGAACTCTTGTCAACCAAGCTAACGTTAGCTTAGGCTAACTGTCTCCTCCCTGCAGGATTAACGCAGTAGTCTGAGCATTGGCAGTAATTTGAAGTACTCACCGTCATGGTAGTACTTGTTAATGTTAAGTATACCCGTGTGTACTCATTGTGTGTACATCACATTACTATTTGATCAGTAAAGTTGAAAAAAATATATAGAAAAGCATTAGTCTTGACCCCCCCCCTAGTGGTGATTGTGGACATGTGAGAATGACAGCATGTTTATATCAAGTCCTTCAGATAATATAAATATAAACGCTCTAATACAAACGTACATACTATAATATAAACACTCATAGTATATGTTTTACTATATGTATTTTAAACTGTGGTCTTGTTGATACCACATTTGATCTGAAATGATCTTTAAATAAAATATTGTTGTGCAGAAATCTACTCTCCATTGAAATTTCTATTTTCTTCAATACTTTATTGCACAAATCAAGCCGTGTTAATTTATTTTATGTGAGTAGTTATTTGAGAAAATAATTGATAATGAAAATAATAGCATATTGCAGCTGCTAAATATAATTTATTTGTGAATGATCTTGATAGAACATTTTGAAAAATGCTTCATCCAAAACCCAAGATATTCATGTTAGAAACAGATTAGCAGCTGATCATTTTAGTGATTTGAAGTGTGGGGACTGGCAGGGTTTGACAAATTAGACTTTCACTCTCAAACTAATTGATTATCAGTATGGCTGCTGATGCTCAACTAGTAATTATGGACATAGTTAGTTTGAAAGGCTGAAAAATAAGGCTAGAGTATGTTGAAACACAAAAGTTGAGACAAGTGGCGTCATTCTTTACTTTTCTAGTCACGCATGATTCACCCGTCACCTGTATCTCTTCTGTCATTACAGAATGCGTTACGTGGCCGCTTACCTCCTGGCTGTGCTCGGTGGAAAAACCAGCCCCTCCGCAAAGGACATCAAGGCCATCTTGGGCAGCGTGGGAATCGAGGCCGATGACGAACGCTTAAACAAGGTGCGTCTTTTAACACATTTAAGCAGTTTTTAAAACTGGGGTCGGATTCTTTAACAGTGAAGATGTTGATCTGAAGTCAAATCTTATATTTTTCTGGGCAGGTCATCAGTGAGCTCAATGGAAAAGATCTCAATGAAGTCATGAACTCAGGTAAAAGCCCCTGAATTAACAGGGCTAAAGATTTCACGTCTTTTTTAAATTGAAGATAACCAAAAATTGTATTTCTCTCCTTTTTCCACAGGTCTCTCAAAGCTAGCCTCTGTACCAGCAGGTGGTGCTACAGCGGCTCCTGCTGCTGCCGCTGCTGCAGCTGCTGGGGCCGCTGGAGCTGGGGCTGCTCCTGCTGCTGGTAAGAATATATATTGTTATTATTTTATTTATATATATATATACACACACAACTTCTCAGCTTTAATTGATTTCGATTGTTAATTTCATTATTACACATGATGATGCCCTCTCAAATTCATTTTTGTTTTGCGGTCCAAAAACGAAGTACATTGGTTTTCTGTTGTTAGTGAGCTGTTTTTACATTCTTCTTCTTTGCCTTGTGCCAAATGTCTTTTTTAGTTTGTTATTCAAGTTTTAGTTAACTAAAAGTTTAAGCATTTAATCTCTTTTTTATCATCATCAAAGAAAGACATTATTATTTAGTCTAGTTTTAGGTAATGAAAACATTTAAGAAAAAAATATCCCAAACAAATTCTATTGAATATATATAATATATCCTTTGATATAGCATGTTGTTGGGGTAAAATGACATTAATGCTGTCTTGTCTTTAGCTATGAAAAAAGGGTTGTTGTGTTGATAATCACAAAGTCATTGTTGTTAACAAAATAAAAGTGAATATCAGTGCTCCTGAAAAGTGTTGCTGACAGTTTTCTGTAGTATTGACTTTTTCCTTTTTCTGTCTTGTTTTCCAGCGGAAGAGAAAAAGGAAGAGAAGAAAGAGGAATCAGAAGAGTCAGATGAAGACATGGGCTTTGGACTCTTTGATTAAACTGCCTTCTCCGCGTTTAAAAGCAATAAAAATGTAAAAGGTTTACACAAATCACGTTTTCTTTTTGTCCTTTTATTGGTTTTAAGTAGATTTTGCACATTTTGACTGTGAATAAGTATGATTGAATGAATAATAATTACACTCAGTGAAATTACCGTTCAGTGTTCTAGAAATAAACTCTCTGGCCTTCAGTGCTGAGATGTCGAAAGCTTATTGCTAGAAATAGTCCAGACTGGACAACCTGTCATGATTGGGCAATCCAGACCCAGCATGTGGTCAGCCTGTCCTGCTGCTGTTCAGATTCCTGAGTCACATGATTAAAGCACAGGCTTAAAGGGACAAAGCAATGATCCGAACACAAAGGTAGACGCACCACATAAACTGAAAACATTTGGAACCTGCTGAGTCTCAGCTGCTCTTTCATGTAGTAAATAACTTCAGGAAAGGTTTTGTAGTTGTGCTAACGGTTGTTTTTTTAAAAGTAATGGTGAACAGAAAAAAACATGTTAAACCAGGCCTATACTTTACTGAACGATCAGACACAAAGAGTTGATCTCTCCAATTCTCTCACTTGTGTATGTTAATACTAAGATCTTGCAGCTAGTTTACAGATTCAACTGTTTCCAGCCTTTCAAAGACCGACTGAGGTTAAAAACGTGTTTGGTTCAGTTTACTGACAAACTCCACGAATAAAAATAAGAAGAGGTCACAGTTTTCCAAACAAGGAGTTACGAATGTTGCTGCGTCCACATCAGACATTTGAAACGATAAAAATATTCTCTCGATAAAGAGGTTTAACTGAGCTGATAATGGCTGCTGTCATTAGTAGTTTTGACCAGTTTGTTTATCAGACATCACATAACTTCTGAGTTACAAGCAGAATAATGATTGTGATGATGTCTGTCTATGTGTCTTTCACTTCTCTTATTACCCTGTTTGCAATGCAACACAGCACATGCACTCATATACAATGTGCCAGAGAGAAGAGGGAGGCAGAGGGAACCCGTTGGTTTCATGTTTGTGTGTTTCATCTTAATTGAACAATGATAATAGATTGTAATTTTTCTTTAAAGTTTTGACTTTTATAAAGTTAAAAAGAATTGAAATGAAAGTTAAAGTTGTATCAATAGTAAAGTAGAGTATTACGACTATTTTTATTTTCTTTAAATTTAAACATTGGTGTGACTCAACAGAGGTGCAATGCTACTGGTATATACAAGAAAATAGATACTAAGAAGATTTTGTTCAATTTGATTTATTTCTAATTTGACAGTTTCCATCCTCCTGGGATTCTGCTGGACTGGTCTCATCGAGAGATGAAAACTCCAAAACCATCACCTGCTCCGTCAAACAGTTGTGGCAACGGGTGACAAAGCTGCAGCGGTTGTACTTCACCAAACAGAGTTTTAGCTCGACTGGCCTCATGCAGTGCTGCTGCAGCTTTGCATATAGTGAAGCATTGTACCAAGTTGCAGCAAAGGTGCACACAGCTGTAGCACTGGTCCAGTCCAATGCTAGTGTGACTTTGTGCAAAGCATCTGCAGCACTGTACACATCTACAGCCACATTGAGCACAGCTGAAGCACTGGGGTCATCCTCTAGAGCTGTAGCCTTGAGGGCAGCCACTGCAGTGTCAAACTCAGCAACATCATCCTGGTGCAGTTCCACTGAAGAGTTATACAGAGCATCTGCAGCTTCAGACAGGTTGCACACAGCTGCAGCACTGGTCTGGGCAGGTCCTTCTCAGTTCTGCTACAGCCTTATTCACAACGCGTGCAGCGTTATTGAAAGCCGTAGCAACTTGGGACACAGCTGCAGTACTGGTTGTATCCATTGATGCTGCAACGTCTAACACAGCTGCAGGCTCTGACTCTGCAGTGGCCAGTGGATTGGCCTCTGCCTCTTCAACATTAGTTTCCCATTCAGGCAGTTCAGTGGTTAGCATGGGTGCTGCTACATTTCTCTCTCCAGGTGGGAGGAAATGGTCAAACAGACTCTTCACAGTTTAAGTAACGGCGGTGCCTACAAGGACACCAAGGGGAGGGCATGTTGCTGGGTTTTGTTCCTTTCTGAATATGTGGGGATCAGAATGAAGAAAAAATCTGCTGTTTGGTTGGGAAGGTCCCCTGCCTGCAGAAACCTGTTTCACAGGTGAGACACTGTCACATTCCATCTCAGAGTTACCTGTCAGCCTCGACACCAGGAGTCTTTTATCTATGCTGTTCACACACTGTGCGGTAGTTGCATGACTTAATGATTTCAGTGGAAGTTATTGCAGTACTTTAACATGACTTCATAACCAGGCATGTGTCTCTACTTGTCAGGAGGAATGTCTAAGGTGACAGATGTCTAGCAGAATCACAGTCTCCTTCGTTAGTCTACCCTTCCATGCCTGGTTTACTGTACATATTTCTAAAAGAAGAGCGATTCCAAAACTATATTCTGTTTTTTTGCGAGCTGAGTTACATAATTCTACCAGAGAAACCCCCCCTCCCCCTCCATCAACCAGTGCAGTTCAGTCCACATCCATTTTTCTAGACACATATGATGCCACCATGACCTTTGACCACTGAAATCTAATCAGTTTATCCACGGATAGGGACCCATATCTTTAGAGCTCCAGATTAATCTGGATTCCGAAGAAATTCTCCCATCTACAATTCTTTCCGCTCCTGAACAAGACCAAACTACAGATTCGCCTGCAGCTGCCTGGCACCGCGCATTCCATTTGATTTGGAGAATAATTGTGCATGGGCATGAAGACTGCAGTTTTTCTGATGAAGTGAGGATGAGACAATGCATCACTGAGGCCTGTGTTAAGAAGTTGGCCACAGGTATAGAGAGGAAAAGTTCATTTATCAAAGAAAAAAGTTTGACAACGATCAAAAAGTTGCATTTAAAGATATTGCTTTATTTGCGTATGCAATATGAATGCCAGCACTCATATCAACAAACATTAACAGATATTTCACAATGTAGTTGAGCTTATATTAAATGCACATTTCTCACTTAACTTTGAAATGTAAAAAACATATTGCACAGACGTGTCCGGCTTATTCACATGAACAACAGTTCTCACGTTGCTTTTTTGGTTGATTTCAAATCAATGTACAGAAACGTATTGTTCTTGAATGTTGGATTTGAGAATCAAATCTTTAGTGTCATCACAGAAGAACCGGGTGAATCTGAGATGGTGAAATACTGCAGTGTGTTCTGACGCAGAGCTGGCAAGTGAAGGCCTTGAGTCAACACTTCTTTACCTGAGTCAACAACCTTCCCGCAAACTGAAATGTAGCAAAGCCGCTCAACTGCTTTGTCACTAAACTTGTTGCGTAAGTGTTGTCACGTAAAAATAATTTCAAGTATTTGTGCTTGAACGTGGATTTAAACGTTTTGTCAAGCCGCACTTCTGCTCTTGAAAAGTTTTTAAAGGGGAAATGATGCTTGCAACACGTCCTCGAGCCTCATGAGCGGAGCTGAGAAAAACTGAAGTGTGGTCGTGCTCCTGTGTTTCAGTCGTCAGTGTCGGACCACGGATGATCTGTACATGCCTGCAAAAAGAGAACAAGAGTTTTAAAATCTTAAGGCTGTTTTTCCTCTGTGACTGTTCAAACGGATATGTGCAGAATCATGGGTTATAGGGGAATTACGGTATTTTTCAACCTTGGCCCGATGTTTATAAATGTGGGTGTGTGAATGAACCAGTCCAGTAGATCGTCTCTGCAGCCACAACACAGCGGCTGTGGCTATGATTCATTCTTATGGGGCAACTGCGACTCCAAGAAATGTCCACAAAAAAAGGCTCAAATTGTTATTCAGAGTCTTTGCTATGAGTCCTGCAACTTTGCACGTTTTGCTCAACAAGACTTCACAACCACGCAGCAGCTTGTCCCTCCCCTGTTCATTCTCTCTTTGGAGCCAAATCCTCCCGCTCAAACATGATCGCTACATCGACAATGTCCATATCAAAGTTTGAGCCATAATAGTTTCTCTCTATAAAATCCAACCTCCTCTCTCCAACTCTCTCTCACTCACTCCTGCAACAACCCGAGTCTCACGAGACTGGAGAGTGAGTCCACTCATTGAACAACACATCTGTAATGTTGCCAGACTCTTAAAGACCAAGAATAACAATTCAAGACTTTTATTGGGGGGAGAAAAAGCACCGTCGCAGTTGCCCCATTCGATTACATTATAGCCACTGTCACAATGTTGTGGCTGATGATCGACTGGACCGATTCCAAATGTTCTTGTAATTATAACATTCATTTTCACATAGGGCACAGATTGAAAAATATTGGAATTCCTCTTTAAAAACATCTAAAAAGAACTTTACAGTTATCTACTTCTAATGTTTAGTTTTCTCCTCTTCCCCATTTCCTTACATCTGACTCTCACCTGATTGTATTTGAATCTGTTCTGTAGATAAAGATTCCCCAGTACTGTAATGTGACCTATGTTCTGTCTGGAGAGCCCGGCCACTCTGGCCGTGAAGTCGAGCGTAAAGGCCAGTTTGACCAGCTCGGGCGCTGTTGGCGGCACGGTGAGAGGAGCGCGGGTAGGCGTTGTCTCCTTCTCTAGATAAGTGTCAGCCAGTTTCTGGAAGGACGAATAAGACATTCCCTGGAAGAAGTTGTTCAGGGCGGGGTTATCCTTCATCTGGAGGAGGTGAGGAGAACATGTCCGTCAGTAAATCCAATATATTGCCACTGCTCATAAACATTTATGGTGAGACTAAAAAAATATTGTGCTTGTAAAGTTTTGTAATGTTCCAGTAGTCAAATGAAGATGATGGCTCATCACATGACATCAAGAACATTTCAGCTCAATGCTTCAATGATGTTTGTCAGCACTTTGCAGCATTATATAATTATTAATTAATCACGCATGTAAATATGCCAATGACATGCTTTTTCATTGATTATTGATCAGTCTGCAGATCTGTTTTTAAATGAATATATCTAAATATATCGAACTTTCTTTAACATTGCGTTTTTCAACATTTTCGTTGATTTCTCAGAGAATAATCTTTGTATTGTGATGAAATTTAGTTCATGAGTGTGTGCAACTTGGTGCATACACATATCTTCTGTTTTGATACAATTTTCAAAAGTTGTTGATTCCGTGTTGACGAATTGTTGCAGCCTCACAGTTGTTGTTTCACAAGGGATAAATGCAGAGCAGTCACATGACATGCTGTGCACAGAACTTTCTGTTTTACCCTCTGAATTTTAAAACAACAGTTCTGCAGCAAACTTTGTTCCTGGGACTTTGCCAGATGCTTAGAAAACTGTTAAACATACTTCAGATATAACATTGTTCTGATTATTAATCTAAAAGCATTACTTTACAAACAACCAGACAATAAATACATAGAAACCTGCAGTCAACTCAACGTTTCTACCAACAACATGAACGTGTACCGACCTTGTTGTCTATGGCGTCACCCTCCTCCTTTGTCAAAGCAATGATCCTGTTGATCACTTCCTCTGAGACGAAACAGAGGGAAGAGAAAGTGTAATTAACCTTTAGAAAACTCATTATACCAGAATCTGTTGTTATAATAAAGTTTTAGATATTAAATTTAATAAATGAGCAGATATTCATCTAATTTTGGGGGAGAAACAAACTAAACCAAGCAGAGAAACAAGTCGTTCATTGATTGTGTCGCTTTTTGTTTTCAGTTTTATTCTTTATGCAGGCGACATTTTTCACACTTTCATGAAAAGTGAAAGAGTAAAGAGAAACTGTTTCTCACCGTCTGACAGAGGCCGATCTTCCTCTTTCACTTTGACCTCAAGGACAATTCTTTCCAGTTCCTCCGACACCTTCTCGTAGTACGAGTACGTCGGCTCCACTCTCGTCACAGCTGCAAAGCAACAGTCAGTTGTTCATACGTTTTAACAGACTAACCCAGATTTCTTCTAAACCCCAAAACACTTGAACACTGATGAGTAAAAATGTTTTTTTATCAAAACACATACAGTTCATTTATCCATTTAAGTTGAATCCTGAAGTTTACCTTCAAAGTCACTGATGTCAGCAGTGTGGAGATCTTTACTCTGCCTGTGTGATTTTATCAGAGACAGGCGCCTCTTTGAGAACCTTCTCCTCAAGAACTTTCTCTTTGAGATCTTTTTCTGTGAAGACATTGGAGGTGTGGGCAGGCAGGTGATCGCAGCCTCGGAGGCCAGCTCCACCGCGGAGTCCCTGGGCGTCTCTGTAGTGCTGTCCTGCTCCTCATCTTTGTCCTCGCTGCTCTTCCCAGAAAAAAAGCCCAAAATGCTTTTCCAAAATGAGGATTTCTTGTTCTTCTTTGACCTTTTGTTCTGTTTCTCTGGCACTTCTGGACACGTTTCAAGCGGAGCGGTGGAGGGTTCAACTGCAGAAAAGGCCTCACTGTCAATTAATCCGTCGGTCAGGTGAAGGGACGGGTCGCTGGAGTGTCGTCTTTGCTTTATCGTCACCCACTTTTCTTTCCTCTCATTCCTCTTCTTCAAAACTATCCCATCGTTGACGCTGAGGCTGCGCTTGACGAAAACCTCCAGAAGACGGATCGTGTCCTCATGAGGGACAAAAATCAACTGGCCATTATTGGGCTTTTGTTTTTCTGTCTGTGTTTCCATGGTGGGGAGACTGTGGAAGAAGGAAACATCATCACACACCATCGTTTGCTGCCTGAGTTTTGAGTTTTCCATTTACGTTTTGTCTCGCCTCTCAATTTCCTAAACTGTAACTGTGAGCCTATTTTCTATCAAATATAATTTCTGCATCGACCTGCTCCGTCTACTGTCTGGAGTTAAAATCCAGTCAACTTAGGGGACTGTTGGGACTTGGCAGAGACTGCTCACTTTTATTGTCTTCTAATAAACTGAACTGAACTTTGGGTGTTAGAGTGTTGGTGGCCATGAATAAGAATTAAGGTTTCTGAAAAGTGCAATGGCCATTTTTCACTATTATTATAAAACAATCAACTAGTACTTTGTGTTGTACAAGATAAGTTATTGAAGAAGATGCTTGTCAGTCTATTCAGTTCGGACAAAAAAACCTCAGATGCAGCCCTAAACTTTAGGTATTAATTATTTCCCATAGCCTTTTATTTACCTCATGATTACTTTTAATCAATAACATAATTTAACTTAACTTAAACTATCATACACATGTTAACGGTGAAAAACATTCAACACAAAGTGTCCGAAGCCCATGTTGACCTATTCAAATTACTTGTGACAGTCACATGCTCAAAGATATTCAAATTACTCAGTAAACCACCAAAACATGTTGTAACATTTCACAAGCTGGAAACCAATGAATTAATTCAGCTTCAATTTTAGCAATAAATTCAAACAGTCAAAAACGAAACAGTTGATTTTCTGTCCAGTGACATAACCATTAATGGATAAACACCTCGTGTTTGGATAAGTAGGTTAAATGTATCTTGAGTTAACCCGAGAGTCTTATTTGCTTTTCTTCTATTCTAATACAAGACTGTGAGGTGAAGCTGGACCTGCAGGAAAGTAGAGACGTTTTCAAACGCTGTAAAGAGTCAAAAGGGAGAAAGAGGAACAGGAAAACTAGCGGGTGTCATGGTGACAGCTGTTGTTTAGTCTATTTAAAGCTACAGAATGAGAAAACAGTGAACTCACCTGGTGTCAGTCACAGACAGAGGTGTTGTAGAGATCCGTGTCAGTAGTTCCACAGAGTTGATTCAGACTGTGTTTGACTGTCAGCAGCTCTGGTTTTGTATTGAACAGGTCGTCTCTGTGCTGGAGGGAAGCGCCACTGTGAACAGAGAGCTGCTCACCTCCGCCCACCATGTAAGGACATGCAGCCCGATCTGTACCTGCAGGCAGAGAAAGAGGGAGGGTGCAGGGACACATATCAACTGTCTTCCTGCTTTACGTGAAACTCTGACACTGACGTCACTTGTTTGTGGTTTCACTGGGTCTGCTCTGAATGAAGGTAAAAAAAAACTAATAAGAGGTAAACTGTCAGATGAGTGGAAACATGTGACCAACACCTTTTTATAGGCTACTTTAGATTGTAGGAAAAAGATTATTTAAAAAAGTATAAAGAGTTTATCATCAATATAATATCAAATATATCATATATAGAATTTATTGCAATAATTTTAGAAAAACCTTTTGTGGGACCCAGGTTGCACCTGCTCTGCAAAGCAAAGGTTAATAACCCTTATTAATGAATCATTCAGGTCATTAGTGTCTTCACGATTAGAGTTGTTAATCATTTGCCACACACCCACACACCACGTAGTCTCACACAACAGACGTGTGTGAGGTGAGACTGGCCTGTGTGTGTATGAGTAAAAGATTTCCTTCAAGTGATCGTGGAAACAATTTCCATTCATCAACTGAAGCTTATTTCTCAATAGCAGTGAATTTTAATCACAGCGCATGGAACCGGATGAGTCATCTATTATTTGGCCTGTTTATCAGAAACACCTTTCCCTGGAAACATTACTGTCGGTGCAACTGGATTTAAAACATTCCAAAGCAGCACTTTTGTTTTCCTGCAGCAGTAGACAGTCATTTGATTGTTATCCAGTGAACCTCTAACTGATATTAGTAGACACAAGATTCAACCTGACTAGTATCCCACATAATGTTGGATGGTTTGCAGGCATCGCACACCTGCAGGGAGGAAGTCTCCAGTTCCCTGATGGGGTTCTCACTCCTGTTGGGGGGGTAATGTCTTTACCCCTGTGTGTTGGTGTGTTTGTCTTTTTCACCCTTAGTTAGATTACACATGGAGTGAATAAAATAAAACTTTGTGGAAGGATGAGTTATGAGTCAGTGAAGAACTCGAAAACCTTCGGTGCAGATCTGGATACAGAGGCAGAGCCAAATCACTTTGTTTTACATCCCCTGATTTCTCAAGAGAATAAAACAACCAGACATGTTTACAGGACTGATATTCATGAGTTTGTGCAATTCGGTACAGATCCCCAAAAAAGAATTAAGTGAATTTAAATGCGGTTTCATAAGGACTGTCTATAGGGAGAGGTTCATTCTACTGAGTTTCACTCCAGTTCAACATAAATACATTCTGATATTGAATGTAACTTACTGAGATTGTAACTAGGATTTAAAAACACAAGCAAAAAACCCCAATAAACAAATAAAAAAATTAACCTTCGCAAAAACTACACACTTCTGAAAACCTTCCCCCTAGTTTGTATTTGTGTAGTACCACATTAGGGCCACAGAGTGTCAGACTAAACACTGATATAGATTCTGTTGCTCCCTCTATGGTACAAATATTACAGACTGTGAGATGTGCTACTGTACCTAAAGACAACGTACTATTCCTGAGTATTTCCATTCGTGTATCAGTCAGTCAGTCTTCGTTTCAACTTCATTGTAGCATCACGAAGGAAGTTTCAGTACGACAAGTTTACAAAAACTATATCACTAATACTAAATTTCTGTATAGAACTAGAAAATAAACTATTATAGAAAAGAATAGACCAACAGGGAGAATACACAAACACAAAGTTGTGATGTAACTGGTTGAAGTATATTTTGCTGTATCAGCCCTCATTAGTTAATACGACAGTCTCTTCCATTGTCTGAACAATTTAGATTCGTCTCGATGTTAGTCCACATCTGGATGACTATGATTCTCTGCACATTAAAACCCCCTCTCTAATCAGCTGGTGTTAAAATGTTAGAACTGTCCCAGATGTGAAGATGGGCCTGTTCACCTGAAGGCAGCGTGTTGTCTGCCGTCTGATCCCAGGTGATACTTCAGATCACCTTCTTCATTTTTTATTAGCACTAAGCAGGACAAATGTGAGACTCACGTTTCGTCACACAAGGTCTGGTCATTGACCTCCAGGCCGACGTGCTGCAGCAGAGCAGTCACCTGTCGTAAATCTTTATCTCCCCCGAATCATCTCTCGCTCTCTCCCCAGTCAAGAGGCCTTCACTCCTCTTCACATGATAGATGGGAATTAACGCACCCAGGCGGAGCTGAGCGCAGCAAACTAAGCAGATCCCGGAGACCAGAAAGGCTTCATTATTACCCATACATCCCAAATGATAAATGACCTGCACATACAGTTTACCTGTGATATTAATAAAAAAAGGCACATTTGATCATATACAGGGAGCTGGTCATTTCTTCAAGGCACTCTCAAATATTAAGTCACATCAAAATGTCTAATAAAAGGAATAAACTAAGGCATTCTTATAAATCTATCGTTTACCCCCTGACATCAGCTCACTGCTCATCACACTGCAGGTGCCAAATGTTTTACTGAGCTCTGTAAATCCAGTATTTATCATCATGCACCTGCACAATGGGACGATCTGTAACCCAACTCATTTTTATCTTTAAGGCAATTTAAGTTTTTTAATTTGACCATCTTATCATCATTTGACCTCCAGCTGTTCTTGTTTTAATCGATTCTTTTTGTTTTAATATAATTAATTTGCTTTTAATTAAATGTATGTACTAAGGCTCACTTAGGTCTCAATGTATTCTTGAGTTAAATAAAGGTTGAATGAATACTAATAATGAAAATGAAAAGAGTTTCCTGTCATATGACTCCAAGATCATATGATCTGTAAATGTGTACCACAGGTTTATAATTTCTCTAAACACGAGGGAGGAGTGTTTCCATCCTGAGCCTCTTTCACTTCCAGGAAAGAGCTGAATGTGGGACAGGACATGATTCACTGATTCTACCTTCTGACTCCGTCATGTTGTCTCTGCATGTAGTCAAAAAAGAAGTTATACAAGTGATGCAGAGGCCATGTCTGGACGTTCCTGGTCAGCAGAGTCAGTGCGTGAACTTCGATCAGTATCAATACTCATTCAATAGAAACGCCGAAGCTGCACGGTGTTCCTACTTTAAAATAAAACTAATTCCCAAGGTCACAGCAGCGGTGAAGCAGCCTGATACGCTCTGTCCTGCGTCCAGCAGAGTTACTGTCGCTAGAGAAACTGGACACTTCAGAGGGTTTTAGCACAAACACAAGACGCCCAGCTCCAGGTGACTTTGCCCTCTGGAGGGCGTGAGCCACAGTGCACAGTCCTCTGTCTGTGCAGCTCTGGAGATGGACTTATATCGCGCCTGCTGACAAAACAGTAACTCAATCCACCGATATGAGACTCACTGTCTGAGCTTTGGGCGTGAGCTCCGTCCCTTTGTTTCCCCTCCAGCAGTGGGACACAGTTTGTCTCCGACTTGCAGAGTAAAAGGAAGAACACAGAGCGGAGGTGATATTTTTAGATGCATTAAGGGCAGCGGTGCAGTCTGCTGTGTCACAGTGATTGGACTCTACGTGCTGCTCTATGAATGGATTTCTTGGAGGGGTGAATCTTTATCAAAGCCTCGGATGGATGTGATCCCTTCATGGAGCACTCGATGAATTATAGATGACACACTCACATTGGCTGTGACCTTGCAGAGCCACCTGTCTGTTAAATGCCAAACGTTATCAGGCTTGGTCTTTGGGATACCAAACAAGGATCAGTGCTCATCAGGGCAGAGAGGCAGAGCGCCGACCTGTCCGTTAACCAGTGATTAGAGTTAACAGGCTCGTGAGGAGGCTGCAAAAACAAATCCAGGGTGTTTCAGCCGGGGGGCGACTTCAGCAGAGGGAGGAATCGGCTCAGAAAACTAAATATCTCGAGTATCACGCAAACAAAATACACGGAGCTCAAACAAGTTTGAATGTTTCAACACACTGGCTGAGAGCAATGTCCTTGATGTGTCTGTACAGGAGAGTGAAGCATCAAGTGAAACAGCCAGTTCCCAGCCTCGGAGGCTAAGATAGATAATCTTATAAAAGATTCATTTAGTCTGCATATTTAATTTGGTGCTTTTGCTTTTGAAGCTATCCCTGTCAAAGACATTGTCAAGAACACAGCAGCAGGACAACGTGTTATTTATAGAGAGAAACTGCGGATTGTGGTTTTTATTCTACTAGCGTCAAAAACTACTCAGTACTTTGTTTGCTGCACCTCAGATTGGTTTGATGATCCATTTTGATTGTTGTTTGTTTGTTGGCAGGATTACAAAAAAAACTGCTAAACTGGTTTCAATGAGATTCTGTGCAGGGGTGAAGCACGACCCCGGCAAGGAGCTGTTACATTTTAGTGCCATGATGGAAGTTCTTCAATAGAACAGGTTTGAAACATCTGCTGTCCATCTACACCTCCACACCACATTTACATGTACACACAGTATCAGAGAGGTAGAGACATGCTATCAGTCCTGACAACCAGCAGTGAGAGGGCGTTAATAACAGCAAACATGAGGCGATAATGAGGATTCCACTACTTACACTGCAAAAAAAAAAAAAGTTTCAAAACTTTAAATCTGCCTGATGTCACGAGAAATGAAATCAGCCGAGGGAAACTTCACACACAGGATACGAGTTTAATGAAAGGCACTCTTTACAGGGTTAAATAAAACATATGACACTGTATACTGCACAATGTTGACACTCACACAGTAACAGTCCTCCAACATGAAGTGTTTCTCGACGTAGTAAAGTGCAAAGTAACCACGTGACTAACTGACGTCACCTTATTGCATTTTCATTTTTAAACACAGGTATATTGCTCTTTTTCTGCGAGTGGAGGCTACAGCGTTTGTTTTTCACCCGCATGTCATCATTTTTGCATATTGCTAGGTTATAAGAAAGGCATTCCTTGAGTTACAACTACATCCGGTGTCATTTTAATTCAAGCTGTATTTTATACGCATCATAAAATCACACACAGTAGGTTTTCAAGATTGTAATGTGGCATGCATATAGTATATAATACCGATTCATATTTCCAGATGAGACACAAACGCCTTCATCATTTCACAAATCCAGTTGGAGTATTGGCTTTCCCTATCACATGGACTATATTGATCTTCACAATATGATTAAAATACTATCGTATAATTAGCTTCAATAAATACGTCAAACTCCAGTTACTGATAAAAAGAGTTAGTTCTTATTTGGGCACACTATGCCATGCAATATAACAAGGGAATCAAAGTGAATGGAGAACTTTTTCTCCTCTGTATTCTCAGTCTGATCACAAATATACATCTCGTCTCACATTTCTATACACTCTGATAATAAATGCTAGTTTTCCAGCTGATGGTGTCAAGCTCCAAAAAGTGCTCGAGAGATACGTGAAAAAAAGAAAACTCTCAGTGCAATTCATTGATATGCTTTTTAAAGGGTCAATTCACATTATTAGCCTATTACATGTCTGCACAATCTGGTGCAAGATGCCAAATGATAAAAAATGGAATCATGTAGATAAAACAAACTGTGATTTAATAAGAGAAACTGCTGAACGCACGTGTTATAATGTACAACCATTGCCAAGCAGTTTCACAGACGTGCTAATGTGCCAACAACTCATCGCGGAGATATAGTTACGCTGTGTCAGATGGAGACGTGCCGGCGCTGAGCATTCGCAGCTATAGATTTGCTGATAAGACAATGAGTGCGCTGATGTCCTCTCGCCTTACACTGGACCCGTCCTTGAAAATCATGACAAGCTACATCTAGATTTCGCTGAATATGACGGAATGAAGACGAAACGTGGAGCTGTGATGGAATATGAGCTCTGAGTGTACATCCAGCTTCTGTTCTTTGTGAGGGATAAACTTACACCATTTTACAAATCAGAACTTTTCCTCTTGTATCTATATTCACTCTTCACAAGGTCAAACGTTTGTCTACAGCACAAACGAACCGTGGTCCTGTCCTCAAAGGTAACTGACATAGTAGCTGCTGAGTTGTGTTAATTGCACTTTGACACATCCACAAGTTTACAGACAACTTGTGTAAAGGCTGTCTCACCACCACACGGTGCCTTAATACTGTAATAATATGCACAAATGCTGACATGTTTGAAGTACAAAATAGTGAGGAAGTTACCAGCGTATCTGACTTTCATGCCATAAATAATACTTGAGTTTCTCCATCAGTGCATGCCGTTCTTCTCATTCTGCCACGTGCCGTTACTTTTGTTCAGTGAAGGCGTGCTTCCGTACTTAGCCGCTGACAATTTCTGGGCAGCCTCTGTTGCCGCGTCTATCATCTGCTTCTCCTCCTGCTCAGTCTCCCGGTGGTAAAAATAGTTAAAGTTGGAGACGATGACAGGGACGGGCAAGGCGATGGTCAGGACACCGGCAATGGCACAGAGGGTGCCGACCATTTTGCCTCCAATGGTGATGGGGCACATGTCTCCGTATCCCACCGTGGTCATCGTTACCACGGCCCACCAGAAGCCGTCGGGGATGCTCACGAACTGTGTCTGAGGCTCATCCACTTCTGCAAAGTAGATGGCACTTGAGAACAGGATGACTCCTATAAAGAGGAAGAAAATGAGCAGCCCCAGTTCCCTCATGCTGGCTTTCAATGTCTGACCCAGGATCTGAAGGCCTTTCGAGTGTCGGGACAGCTTGAAAATTCTGAAGACTCTCACGAGTCGGATGATTCGTAGGATCGCCAGTGACATGTTCTGACCGGAGTTCATATCGTCGTCAGGGGTCGTAGCCAGCTCCGTACCCAGGGTCACAAAGTAGGGAATTATCGAGACTATGTCAATGATATTCATGATGTTATTGAAGAAATCACTCTTGCTGGGGCAGACCACAAAGCGGACACCGACTTCAAAACAGAACCAAATGATGCAAATAGTCTCCACTATGAAAAAGGGGTCCGTGATATAAGCCATGATGTCTTTAGAGGCGGGATGAGGAGCCGAACTGTCTTGGGTGCCATTGATGGTTTGGGTTAAACCAGGGACAAAGTCATTGTCGTCCCTGAACTCCGGCAGAGTCTCCAGGCAGAAGATGAAGATGGAGATGACGATGACAAACACAGAAACCAGAGCCACAGATCTGGCTGCACTGGAGCTCTCTGGGTATTCAAACAAGAGCCAGAACTGTCGCTGGAGTTCGTTGGTGGGCAAGAGGACCTCTGGCTCTTTGATGAACCCCTCGTCCTCACGGAACTGCTCCATCGCTTCGTGGCCTAACTCGTAAAAAACGATTTCGCTTGCAAAAACATCCAAGGGGACGTTGGCTGGTCTGCGGATTCTGCCCCCGGACTGGTAGAAGTAAAGAATCCCATCAAACGACGGACGGTTTCTGTCAAAGAAGTATTCGTTTTTCATCGGGTCGAAGTAATTCATCCGCTTCATGGGGTCACCCAGCAGAGTTTCTGGGAACTTATTCAGAGTGCTGAGCTGGGTCTCAAACATCAGCCCTGAAATATTGATTACGACTTTCTCATCTTTTTCTTCCACGCAGTGCCTCTCAAATAAGTCTTCGTTCTCGTAGCAATCCTTTGGCATCTTGCTGAAGACGCTGTCGGTGGGAGACTCGCTGTTGATGAGGAGCTTTAGATTAGAGATCAGGCTGCCGCTGCTTGAGTTCGCTTTTATGGTGACGATCGGTGGGGAGGACGGCGACAGCCCCTCTTGACCAGACTGATACCTACGTCGTCCTCTGCGTGGCGACGGGTGAGGAGAAATCACACGTTGGGTCAACAGATTCTGATCGGGGGCCTCGCTGGTGGGTGTAGTCGGGTACCCGGAGTCACTCGGGTCACCGAGGTTGATACCGACTTCGTCCATGCTCTCAAAATTAACAAGGGGCACCTCCATCGCCGGTCTTGTCCGTTACCCTCGGTTCTGTCTGTCACCCTGGTTCGAGTGCAGGAGACACCACCAGCAGTGCCGCGCAGATCCCTGCAGGACCCCTCTTCTCCTGGATCATTCAGGCAGCCGTTTCCCTATGTTCGGAATCAGCTCTTTGTGTAATCTGTTAAAGAGGTGGAAAAGAAAACTGGTGTTATATTTTCTTAAATGGTGCAGAACAGTTTTGTTAGTAAAGAGATTTTTCTGTCAGCTCCTGTTTGCATCAGCAGAGAAGCTGCCATCTGATACTGTTTTTTCCCTGCAAATCTCTCCCATGACCTGAAACACACACTCTGCAGGTTCGGCTGTGAAAGTGCTTACAAGGAGTATGGATGGTATTATTGCTGATCATGTGCTACAAACCAGAGCGTGGTTCAATTCCTTATGGAAAAACATCTGAGCCTTCACTTATGACTGAAAGCGAAAACTCATCGAAACAGAAAACACATGTATTTCTCTCAATATTTTCAAATCAGTTTCTAACCACTGACGCGGCTCATCCAACCCGATCCTGCTCAGCACAGTCTGTCAGCGTCACGTTTACTTTATCTCTAAGTAGCTGTTTATCATTCCACTTGTCTGGTTTGGACCGGTAACCAAATCCTGACACATGCGTTTAAGCGACGACCTCTGTGTCCACTTGACACCGTGGGCCCTGCGCACTCAGAGTTACTCATCTGGCTCTATTTCCACTTGCATTGTAGCCGATACCGTAACAGTCCAGGACAGAGTTGAATCGTCTTATGTAAGGATATCATTATGAGGCTGATGCAGACAATAAGTGTATTGATTGTGCCTTGTCAGCAAAGACGGGTAACTGACTCGAAAGGACGACTGAAGATGCAGAGAGGAGAAAAGTGCAGCATGTTCACATCCTGTCGTCTCAGACACTTGTCTCTAAAAGCAACTTTTTTGCTTTAAAATCTCACAACTGAACTTTTCCTCGCCTCACATTGAGGTGACATTGACAAAGACAACACGGCTTCAGCTGCATCACAGCCCTCGTTAGATCTGAACATCGGAATCCTCACAAACACATGCAAATAATCAAAAGTGTGAAGTTTAAATCCAGCTGTGTGCAGATGTCCGCACCACTCACCCGTGTCCCCGGCTCTGCAGAAGTTGCTGTGCCCTCGCTCCCCTGCCTGGCAGCTCTGCTGCTCCGCTCCCCCCTTCCTCCCTTCACCTTCTTTCTCTTCCAGACTCACAATCAAGACTGCCTCTTGCTCTATTAAAGCTCCCATTGGGTAATCTGACACCCTATACGAAACCAGAGATGAGGTACCCACACATGCACACAAACATACACATGTGCTCACACACGTACACGAGACGCAAACACACACACACACTCACACACACATGCAAGTCACTGTTTTTGAATGTGGGGGTCACCTGGCTTTATTCCCCCCGTCACTGGGATAAGTGAGCACGTTAGAGGAGGCTCTCTGATAGGAGATTTACTTTGCTGGAGCCAATCGCTGTTTGACGAGGGACCCGCTCTTTCCCCCCAGTTCCTGCAGAATAAGCATCCACATGCAGGATGATCCAATCCACCCTCACCTTGGGGATTAGACTGTATTCTTCCCCTTGTCATGTAGCTCTCAGTACCTGCAGCAGTGCACATCTGTCTGGGGGGGGGGGATTCTGCTTTCTCTTGTTTACATCCTCAGCAACACATGCTGACGTGAGCTGTTGTTTCATCTGACATTGTTGAAGGTCTTTTATTGAAACTGTAATAAATGTTTCCACACATAACTTTTCTTTTCATTCTGGAATAGTCCTGCCTGTTAGTTCTGAAGCAAATCTACGATATCAAGAATTAGGAACTTTACTACAGAATATACTTTATCAATAAATACTTGAATGACTGAAATAAAGTTGTTTATTTTGGGAAGAAATTCCCCTAAATGTTCTAATATGTTTAGAATAATAGTATTGAGTGATATTTAGTAGCTTTACAGCTGCCAGCTATTGAGGATTTGTCAGATGAATAAAGCTGAATTAATGACAGGCCTAATTAAAAGGTTAAATTCAAAGTGAACAAATTCGCTTCCTTCCTCTTTTGTTTTTAGATCTGCTGAATCCTGTCACGGAGCAGAAACTTTGATCAAAGTTAATTTTGTACTTCTCCAGGAAGGCGGCCAATTTGGCAACATGGGTTGAATATCGTGTTACCTGATAGAGGACCAGTTGCCTGAAGTCAGAGATCGTTCCCTCATCTCTCTGTCGTCCTCCTGCTGCAGCAGCAGCAGCCAGGACTTGGCTGTCTGCTGGTCCTCTGTAACATTGCGGCGTGAGCAGCACCACTGCAGGCAAGGACACACTGCTTCAAGGTCACAGAGAACTGTTTTAAAGCTTTGCACTCCACGCTTTGCTATACATCATCACACACCATCCCCGAATCTCATTATGTGTGCTCACGGGAACATAGTGCACACATGCATCCATGAATTTAAACTTGACATGTATGTTCCAGAGATATACATTCAGGGATGGCCGTGCATATAAAGTATAGAGACGCAGGGAGGTACACGTGCACACAGACAAACATCACACTGACTCAACATCCTCAATATATGTTGATCTGTTTCTTGTGTGGTCCTGCTCTGTCCTGGACATGTCATTGAGAAAGCAGTCAGCTGAAGCACGACCTGTCACTTAAACACTCTGTAATAGGATTTGCTGCAGGCAGAGGGAGACAGGAAGATGGACAGTGAAGAGGATGACCACAGACTGTACTCAGACGTCACGCTGAGAGGGTAAATAATCGATCTAAAATGATTTGTGTCAGTAAAAGTGGGAAACGGGAGGAAAATGGTTGAGCTATGAACTACGTAATGAGGTGGACGGCAGCTGCTGCAGTGTCCCCTGTCTCACGAGTCCTGACAGGATAAAGTCCCTCCCTCCGTCCTTCCACACAGCCTTCGATCCATCATCCGTCCCTCCTCCGTCCCTGCGTCCAGCCCTCTCCTAGTGACACTGTCACCTTACCCGTTAACAGGCTGTGTTGACAAAGCAATTTCTCCATTAGCATGTCTGAACTCTACTGACGCTGCATAGGTGCAAACACCTACTGCAAACCTCTGACCCACGGACGCCTGAACAGCAACATCTGCTGAGAAATCAAATCCACAACACTGGACTTACTGAGGTTTATTAGTGAAGGAGGTATTTCTACTTTTAAAATGCTATGAAAGCAGAAGAAAATAAGCTGTAGGATTTATTTCACTAATATCAATATTCTCCTCTCTTGTCTCCACACCCGTAAATAAATAACTTTTATAACACATGTCCATGAACTTCAGATTGTTAGAGCAATACTACCACTACCAAAAATACAGTTAGCAAAATATAATCAACAATAAATAAAAGTACCACAATAAAAGCATTATTTACATCCCAATATAATTTATATTTGACTTTATTAATATTATTTCTAATACATTCATGTTGAATGCATATTGTGGTTAGTCGAGGTGGAGCTAATTGTGTGTGTGTAAGTGCTTTAATAATACAGACACAGTAAAACAGTCATGTCTGTCTTTATGTGTTTGCTTAATTGATTAAGTTTGGTATCCTCCACCGGTGCTGCTCTTATTCTGAATTTTGAATTCGTCAAAAATGTGTCAAACTTTGCACTAATAAAAAAATGCATTTCAGATACAGCAGTCTGTAGATGGAGGTGACAAAAGCTTTGAGTGACTCATCTTGTGCACATGATCCCATTCAAGATGCATGTCAGGTAGCACGGATTAGATATTCCAGCCCAGTAATCTTATAGCTGTTGTAAAGGCAGCCGGTTATTCCAGTCTAGTATCGCGGCAGCAGTTCCTCTCACTGTAAATAACATATCAGGTTGGGTCAGGAGGAGACAAGGGCATCAACAGCTTCAGCACATAACCCCCCCTCCCCCCKCATATGACTGAAAACATAGTGTTAGGTGAGATAAAGAGCCACGACCATTCAAACCCTCCCAGTGCCCCCAGTTCATGTGTTAGACGCTCGCAAAGGTTTGTCACTCACAGGTTTGGGACCCCTCCCCCTTCATTTCACGTGAGAGTAAATGATCATTTCTATTTCATTCTTGTCGAGCTTGTTCTATGGTCTTGAGTACAATAGAAACTAAAGTTGCAGAGACATTGTAGTGGACTGAAGGTTTAATGATGACAGGCCATTAAACACAAAGCTTAAATTCATGTGACGAAGCTGAATTCTCATTAATCCATTAACGAAACCAGTTCTGCTGCCTGAGTTTAACAGGCCTTTTAAAAAGTGTTCACTAACATCGTACACACAGTAACCTGTCAATGGTTCACTACTGTCGCATGAGTGTGAAGTCATAGCTGGTCACGGGGCTGGCAGGTTCACACAGAATTAGTTCAGGTACTTAAGCACAGTTTCCCTTTTTTTATGCCAAAACACAGATGGATGAGGCAAAAAAAAAAATTGTGCCGCAGGACTCACGGGAATGTTCCAACCAGAGAGCTTCTCAAATCTATTTACACACACACACACACACACACACACATTCTAAATACAGTTTTGCAGATCCATGTACACATTCACAAATCTGATTACACACAGACGGATGGAGACTCTCATTTGTCAATATTTCTGCTACAATAATGGCCCCATACTTTACTTTGTCATACGTCATTTGTCCCAGAGGTTATAGCAGAGATATCAGCCCGTCTTTAATATGTCTCACCTAAAGAGAAAGTTTCCTGTTGTCTGTGCTTCCTCTCATTGTTTGGACTGAGGATTTGGCTCGGGGTTGATAAAGATGCCCCGTGCCTGACTCTGAGCACCGTTCGTCCACTAAGGAGATTATGCAACACAGGAGATGAGCCCGGAGAATCACCCCTCGCACAGATGAACAGTGTGGACTAAATACTACAGACTTAATTGAAATGTCAGGATTGTTTCCAGCCTCACTAATCAAAAGACAGGCGCTAATCTTGGATGACTCCTTGGACCCGACACAGCGGGAGAGGAGTGTTCAAGACAAACCAATCAGAGTGAGGCGCCAGCATTTAACCCTGAAATCCCTGTTGATTTAAAGTCACTGATTAAATTACACTTTTCTTTAGCAGACAACCCGTCTTTGGTTTGTATTACATTTTTTCTTCACTTTGTCTCCTGTCAGAGCACAAAACCATCGTTTGGTACGAAGTGATGAATTCACAACATGCTGCAGATTCCTTCAAACCACTGACACACAAGGAGGAAAGAGTCGTTTTCTGCCGTACAGGGAGGACGAACGTGACGGATCAGCTGCTACTGCTCACCTTCGGAGAGGGAGGGTCCATTGCTGCAGGGGCTCCAGGCTCGACCACAGCTCCTGGTGCAGAGTCCTAAACTTCACAGAGAGAAATGAAATGCACAATTACAATTTTCATCATCTTAATCCTCAAGGTTATTTTTTATCAGTCTGTATAGAGAAAGCATTGAATTAAGTTTACCTTGTTATCCAGCGGTGGAAGAAGCTTGTCTACACTCACGCATCCTCTCAGATTAAGCGTCTGACCTGGCGGAGGCAGAGTCTTAAGGAGCGGTTGGAAATCTCTCCGAAGCGTGATGTTTCGACAGAAGGGCAGGGTTAAATGGGTTAAATGAAGAAGACAGATGTTTTGAATTTGAACGACAACACGGTTTCAATCGATCGGATCAGTGTGCGAAACAAACCGTCACGCTACTTCCTGTTCTCATTTATCCTCGGCTTCCTACACGGAACACATGACGACCCTTTAAACTTTTTAGGGACTGTACACAAATGTTGCAGCAGCAGCAACAAAATCAAACCAACCTCAAACCAACCTTCACACAAGGTCAGTAGATGTCACTTGAAACCACCATCTTTTTCCTTCGCTCTCTGTCCGTCCATCTGTCCTCCTTCAGCGGAACAAGACAGAAACCGAACTGAACTTTTGCTTGAGCAGCACGAGGCTCATTTTTCTCACTGTTGGTAAAGTCCTGAACCCGTCCATCTGCCTGCCAGGTGCTCTCGCTTGGCTCTCTATCATATTTCACACCCGTGTGTGGGATTCACTGGTCACACGCCAGCTTTCTGTCTCTGTGTTTCACCTCTTTCGCCCTCTCTCTTGTCCATTTTGTCTTTTTTCTGACAGTCAGTGGCAGTTGACAGATTAAAGAGAGATGGTTTTCCCTGACACAGCTGCTCTCTGCAATCCACTTCATCATTAGTTGTAATCTGATTGGGGGTGGGGGGGGGGGTCACATCTTGTTTTTGGTGAAATGTCACAACAGCTTTTGAAAAGATTGTCCTGAATGTTTCATGTTTCATGTTCCCCTGAGGATTTTTGCAGATCACTTTGGCGATGCTTTAAATTTTCATCCTCGCACCACAAGCGGGTCAGACACTGATGCTGACAAATCAGCCTCTGGGTGTTTGTTCCCATATCCCAGGAGAAACTGTGTCTCTGCTGCACTCAACAAACCAATACATTTTTTTTTATGTATGCCCAATAAATATAAATAATATTCAGCGCTTGTCCTTTGAGGCCTGTGTCGGTGCCTTATCACCAACGTGCAGCTTTACAATCCACACAATACCCATCATGCATTTCTCTCTGCTGCTTACATACTTCCCCGGGAACGACATTTCTTCTCATCTTATAAAATATTTCTGCACCTTGCGTTGAATCCCTGTGAGGTCTCTAGTTGCCCGGTGCAGCGTCTGTATTGGTATATGTGCAGGAATCAGACACCCCGGCGTGCGTGTCTCGGAGAAAAAGCCCAGGTTGCTGCCATGTCACTGGGGGCAGACGGACAGGTAGTTTACTTGAAACACCGGGTGTCTTCTTATCCAGTGGAACAATTGGCGGCTGTTGTTGTGATGGCGTGGCTGCACGGGATGCTGCTTCGGGACAATGGAGCCGCTATAAATCTTCAAGATTGTGAAAGAGATGGAACAGGTTTTCACACGCTGTAATAAAAAGAAATGTGTTTAAAGCTGCCTGTGTTCCTGTGAAAAATGTAACAAGTGCTGTGTTCGAAATATGATTTGTTCATGTCTAGTGTGTAAAAACATTTGTAGAAGCAGGATTAACATACATGGGAAAAAAAGATTTCTTCTGCATCGAGGCTTTGTTCTCCTCTGTGAGTTTTCTACAGTATCAGTCTCTTTGATCAAACATACATAATGAATGAAGGCAAGTTTTTAAACCTGCTGTACTATCTCTCCTCCCCATCGCTCACACCATCAACGTTCCACAAGACGGCCAGCTCCAGTTTCTGACACGATAATACACATTTACTTTTTAATATTTTATTCTAGGGCAAGACAATACCGTACATATCAGACTGCACTGTGATTAAAGCTGCACTAATTGATGTATTTATATAAAAAAATGGGTCAAATGACCAAGTGTAACGTGAGCAGAGTCACTCTGCAGAGAGTAATCACTCGTCCTTACAGTTTCCATCAGCTCTGAGGAACGTTTGAGCATCTTTCAGCTCATTATTCAGTTTTTTTCACGGCCTTTTTCTATTTCATTTTTAGCATGAAGCTTGTTTTCAATGAGAAACTAAACCCAGTATTTAGAGGGAAATGTATTGATGGATATTTTTCCCGGGAGATTGTAGAGATTAAAATTATAAAAGTTGAGTCAAACAGGTATTTAATAGTTAAATTGTTATTTAATTTGTTTTCCCAACATCCACAAGGCATGGGGTTTGTTGGGAGGAAAATATCAAAAATATTGAAGGATATTTACATGTTCATTTTTTATATAGCTTTTGTTCACCTAACTGTCCTCAGATAATAACAATAAGAATGTGTTCTTGTTATAAAAAAGAAGAAGCACTTCCAACAAATGCTAATGTTACTTCTCGTTGGCTTGAAATGTAAATAGGCTCTTTGCTAACATTAGTCAATTTGATTAGTCAAATCAGGTCTATTTAAAAAGCTCATTTAAAATATGCAGAGTTGACTAAAGTGCTGTTTAAATTATTTTATTATTTTACTTCTCTTTGTTTCTATGGATATGAAAACAATAAAGAATACAGAGAAGTGTGTTGTCGATCTACACATGAATGTAAAATCTAAACTTTTGTTTTGTTTTCTTTATCCATTAAGCTTGGTTCTTTTATATTGTGTATGATCCTCTGACCGCTCGATGTCTGATGAGTTTGTCCTGATGTCACGTGTTCACAACGACACAAACACAACAACCACTTTTCTGCCTTTGTGTTTAGGCAGAGAGACACGAGCGGCTCGTCCACACACTGATACGACTTTGTTTGATGCAAGAGGCCCTTTCTTCATCTAGAGATCATCGCATACATAATGAATAAGCTCCGTGAAAGCAGGGGGACACGTTCACCATAACCACACACACACACACACAGCCTTTCATTTCCTGCTGAGCTAATTTTCTGTTTATCATTATAAATTGCACTGCTCACCAAGCACATTTGATTGTCCTCATTTCATCAAGATTTCCTTTTCTCCAATTTTCTCCTCTGTGTTCTGATCATTGCGATAAACCCCCAAAAAACCTGCAGTGGAAAGAAGAACAGCAGTTTTTAATATCCAATGTGCTAACCAACAAGCATGAAAAGGGTCATTTTCTCTCAAGAAATTAAGATTAACACACTACATATGAGCTGGTGGAGGGGGGGGGGGGATAAATAAAGAGCTATAGATCTGAACAAAATGCTGTGGATGTGGAGGCAGGTCAGATTTCCTGTTCCTGCTCTGTGCACAATCTCAGAGTTGGAAGTGGGATGTAAAAGGGGGGGAAGAGGCTTTGGGACTCAGATGTTGATAAAATATTAACTCACACTGGATATTTAAAGCCTCTGACATTATTTCCTGGGTTGGCATGTTGGGAAGAGCCTCCATGTGATCTACTGTGCATGTAGCCAGCAGCAGGGATGCAGATTTCATCTGTGTTTAGTGAAGAAATTATCCTGATCAAAGATTTACCAGACTCACATATTTTAGATTAGATTAGATTAGATTCAACTTTATTGTCATTACACATGTACATGTACAGGGCAACGAAATGCAGTTTAGCATCCAACCAGAAGTGCAATAGGCAGTAAAGTGCATGTGGCATAAATATTGTGGTATATAAAAAGTATGTTACATGTTGTTTTTACAGTGTATGGACAATATTTACAGATCAGAAGCTATGTACAGGTGAGACCATATATACAGGTTAAAGTGAGCAAGATATACATAATGATTGAGGGAGGTACTATGAACATATTATACAGATGGATTGTT